GGCCACAGCGACGTGGTGGCCGCGCCCTCGCGGCCCCGGGGGAGGCGCCGCTGGACCAACATTGCGCCCACGGAGCGGTTCCCGCAGCCTGCGCCTTCCTGGCAAGCGCCCGTGCTGGATGGTCTCAGAGGTTGGTCGGGGGCGTTTGCTCGCTCGCTGGGAGGTTCCTTGAGTTGGTGAACTAACAAGGCATCGCCACGAGTCTGTGACCTCCGAGTTCTGAGCGACAACAAGCCTTTCCCAGAAGCACCGTGTGGGCGCCAGGTAGAGAAATGGCGGGGTGTGGTCCCTGCCCTTACGAAACCCGTGCAAGGGAGACAAGTCACACGCGCGAAAACGTAAACAGTGACAGCAAGGACGGCTGTTGCGCCAACCGGCACATCTGAGCGCACCGCAACACAGGGATCAGGCTGTTTGGTTGGTGCGTTTGTCTTGACGATCGTCATAGAAACCTTCCCAGAAGGAGAAGGCTTTGGAAACCAGCAAGCCCCGCACCGGGCGAGTCAGTGTCAGGCCACAGTTCCACCGTGTTCTCAAACCTAAGGTGCCCAGCTCCACCCGGGAGCAGCTGTCTCTCAGCTCCCTGTGTCTGCGTGTCCTCAGGACTCGCTGGTAAATCTCCAGGTGCGCACAGGGTGAAGGCACCCCGGCAACATTTTACATCTTGCTTTTAACGTTTATGTCGTGGAGATTACTGAGCCGATTTCCTGGATGGAGTGGCTTTATGACGCTCGCTTGAAAATTAGTTTTAAAATGCTGTGAAAGAGGGACATTAGCAGCAGGATGCCACGGCTCGAGGGCGCATAAAACCGACAAGATAATTGTCAGGGTTTAACAAGCTACCTGGATGAGCCTTTCAGCTCCTGGCAGAGGTACCTGCTTTGTGCCCCGTGAGGTTACAGCCGACGCTGGTTCTTTTTCATGGCGTCTCACGGTGGTCGTGGGCCAGGAAAACTCATCAAGTGTTCTGTCTGCTGGTGTGGCTCGCAACGCAAGGGCCAAGAGCTGACGAAAAGATGTCCGTTCACTTAAATGCATGGGAGGATATGCCTTGTTTCGGATAGGAGGACTTAGATGTAAAAACGTCAATTCTCCCTAACTCAGTTTCAACCCAATGCCAGAAGGATCTGGGGGGTTAGGAGGTAATGACAAATGATTCAAAGTGCATCTGGAGAAAGTAACCAGGACATCCTAGTGTGGGGACGAGGGGACACTGTCAGCGGATCCCTCCATCTTAGCCCACTGGCCCTCCTGCCTCCACGTGCTCCCTTCTGGGCCCAGTTCTCAGTCTGTGGCCTGGGCTCTTGG